AAAATCAACAAAATCATTCTGTCTTATTCATTTTCTTCTTCAAAGCCTCACGATATGGCTCCCTGGTGAATGCAACCATATTATATAGAGACTCGTCAAATTGGTGCTCATGGGGAGATTTCAATTCTTCATAATTAATCATTGAAAGATCTGCTATTGCTTGGCCATCCTCCCACCTGGCATCAGAATAAGCTTTAGCTGCAGCTTTAAGATCATCTAGTCCAATTCTTCCTCCTTTTCCCCCTACTTTCTTGAGTTTCTCATCGAAAATGAGGCAGTCCTCCATGCCAGCATTTGTTCCCTGTCCAAAAAATGGGACGACTGCATGGGCAGCATCTCCTAACAAAACGGCGGAGCAATGATAGTATGAATTGCACTTGATGGAGTACAGGGACCCAGTGGGATTCCTTTTAAAATCATTCACTAGCTCTTCTTTCCCTATCTTGTCAATAGAGTCAGGAAAGTGTTCTTCAAAGAAAGGCAGTAGCTTTTCCTCAGATGCTATGGTTTCAAACTTATCAAAAGGCATAAAAAGAGCAAGGGTGAAGCTCTTATCAGGATTAGGTAGAGCTACCATTGTGAATTCCCGACGTGGCCAAAGATGGAGGCGATCAGGAGTCATTGCAAATTCTTCTTGGTGGGCATCATTAGTGTGAGGTTTCATACGAAGCTCTTTATAACCATGCTCGATGCACTCTTGACTGAAGGAGTAATTGAATCCTCCTGATTTCAGCATTTGATCTCTGACTGTTGAGAAAGTGCCATCACACCCAAATGTGAAACCGACTGTCACTTCTTTCTCACCCTCGGGGGTTTTAAAAGTAAGCAACTGCTTCTTGAGATCGGCATGATGGAGCTTGTGTTCAAAGTGAAGTGTGATGTTAGAGTCACGTTCAGCAGCTTCAAGCATAGCTTGATTTAACTTCAGCCTGTTAATGGAGTGAATGGCCTCTCCTTTTGAACTGTAATTCATTGGGGATGTTGTCCCGTCTAATGAGTGCTCCATTCTACCATATACTGGAATAGCCTCAAAGAGAACATGTCTTAATCCAATAGCTTCAAGTGCTTTAATTCCCCTGGTACTAATAGTCAAGTTGATACTCCTACCAGCCCCTGAGTCTGATTTCCTTATGTCTTTTTTCGATTCAAAAAGGAGAACTTTAAATCCATTCCGAGATAGATACAACGCTTGCAAGGGACCAACTAATCCACCACCAATAACAGCAACAAGTTGGACTCCTTCTCCGTTATTTGTGTCCTTCTCAGCACAATGAGCCATTGCACTATTGATTTTCGAGTGACAGTTGCGGCAGTAGAAACAATTATATAGGAGTTTAGCTATGACATCATAGTGCACTGTAATGTCGCTAATAATAGCAACATTACGTACACCTTATTAATCATATGACTAAAAAAGGGAGGATATATAACTTAAAGAGATAATTATTACGTACACGCTATAAATCATATGACTAAAAAAAGCGAGGATATACCTATTATTTATGACATCACTCACATGACTATTAATAGTACGATATTACATGTGCATTACATGGACATTAATCAGCATTAATCATACGGTGCAAAATGTGAATAGTGTAAATTCCTATATCAATTAGTGTTATTCTAGTAAAACTTTAGCTACTATCAAATTCATGTACTCAAATTCCCTGAAAATTTAGTTATAATTAAAGCTAAGTAAATGTAGAGCACTAACTCAACGGGTAACCCTCAGATAAAAAAGAATTACAACCATTGTTGCTCACTTCTGGTCATTAAATTTATTGTTTAATCAAACATCATGCTAATAATACTCTGATGCTATGATGCATACTACAGAAGATCTAAATGCTTACACTTCAGTGTTTGCCGTGCTCCGACTTGCAGCCAACATTTCGACTGTAATGATGAAGGGTCAAATTCAATGAACAATGTACAAAATGAATTTGTACTGTACATTTTTCTAACAGGTTAATAATTGCCTATAAAAGAAAGGGATTAGGTGGTTCTTGGAATTCTTGTGATAGTTTGCTTCTCTCTCCTGTCTCTCTCACCATCCCTTTAAATGAAGGGCTCACTGTATGATGATTTTCATTTGAAATGTCAATAGCAAATGCCATCCAAGGCTAAAAGAGCTGAAAAACTTCCTGATTGTTATTCACTTTTTGCTGATTGAGCTGCTATTAGAGTACCTTATGAATGATCGGACACCACCTATATTCGGACACTCAAAAAAACTTTTCTAGCTTGCAAAACTTTCTTTATTATACATCATTTTAAAGAGCAAGAATTCCTCATTTGTTCTTCCAAGTTTTAAGCTCTTACTAAGTTTAGCGCAGAAGTTACGTGGTTGAAAAGACGAGTGACCGATCATCCCGAAGATCGGTCAGACTTCACCATTGTTCGTACAAAGAATTTTGCAAAATACTTAGTACAGTTTCAAGCCATACCAGGTAACCAACAATAACCTTGATGTATCAGCAAGAAATTGATGCAGCATTCATGGCACTTCTTGCTTCTACACAGAATGGCAAGAGTGATAAGTAGCCTCTGGTCCAATTATGTATATACGGACACGCCCACTACACAAGTAGTACGTTTTAATTTCCAATTTCATTCTTTATTTTCCTCTTTTCTTTTCTCTTTCCTGTTTTATCCTTACCCTGCTTTGTAGTCCCTCTTCCTCTTTAATTTTTATTGTATTTAATAAAAAGCATAACACCGCCTCCCCTCACAATAAAACCATTAGCATTTAGCTACAATTTTGACAGTAATAATTCTCTGGTATAATGTCCTTTAGTCCTGTACATTCATAGTCAAACCAAGTGTTACAGTTATCGCAGCATATC